ATGAAGCCACAAAAGACCCTGAATAGCCAAAACAATCACGATAAAGAACAAAGCTGGAGTCCTCACACTTCCTGACTTCAAAACAAATTACAAAGCTATGGTAATTAAAATAGTATGGTACTGGCATAAAGACAGACACATAGACCAATGGAACAGAATAGAGGGCCCAGAAATAAACCTATGCATGTACGGTCAAATGATCTTTGACAAGGGCGCCAAGACTACACAATGGGGAAAGGACAGTCTCTTCAACACATGGTGCTGGCAAAATGACATCCACATGCAAAAGAATGAAGTTGGACCTTTATCTTATGCCATACACAAAAGTCAACTCAAAATGGATTAAAGACTTCAGCATAAGACCTGAAACTGTAAAAAGCCCAGAAGAAAACACAGGGGAAAAACTTAATAACATTGGTCTTAGCAATGATTTCTTGGATATGACACTAAAAACATAGGCAATGAAAGCAAAAATAGACAAGTGGCACTACATCAAACTAAATAGCTTCCCTGCAGCAAAGGAACAGCACAGTGAAAAGGCAACCTAAAGCATGGGAGAAAATATATGCAAACAATATATCCAATAAGAGAATAAGATCCAAAAAATATAAAGAACCCTTACAATGCAGAACAAAAACAAAAATCAAACCACAACCCAAAAAACCTGATTAAAAAATGGTCATTTGCAACCACTGAAGTACAGAAAAAAATAAAAAATGGGCAAAGGACTTGCATAGATATTTCTCTAAAGACATACAAGTGGCCAACAGGTATATGAGAAGATGCTTGACATCACTAACCATCAGGGAAATGCAAATCAAAACCACAATGGGATATCACTTCACACCTATTAGGCTGGCCACCATCAAAAAAAGAAGAAGAAAAGTAAGTTTTGCCTAGGATGTGGAGGAACTGAAATGCTTGTGCATTGTTAGTGAAAATGTAAAATGGTATAGCTGCTGTGGAAACAGTATGGAGTTTCTGCAAAAAGTTAAAAGTAGAACTACCATGTAATCTAGCAATTCCACTTCTAGGTATTTATGCAAAATAACTGAAAACAGAATCCTGAAGAGCTATTTGTACTCCATGTTTACTGCGGCACTATTTACAATAAGCAACTGAAACATCCATTGACAGATGAATGGATAAAGAAAAAGTGGTCCATGCATACAATGGAATATTATTCAGCCTTAAAAAGGAAAGAAATTTTGACATGTGCCACAGCATAGATGAAGGATATTATACAAAGAGAAATAAGCCAGTCACAGGACAAATAGTGTATGATTCCACTTACATGAGGTATCTAATGCAGGCAAACTCCACTTACATGAGGTATCTAAAGCATAAAGCAGAATGGTGGCTGCCAAGGGTTGGGAGAAGGGGGAAATGAGGAGTTACTGTTCAATGAGTCTAGAGTTTCAGTCAATGAAATGAAAAAATTCTAGAGATTTGCTGTACAACAATGTGCAATATAGATAAGATTGTACTGTTCACTTAAAAACTTAAGAGGTTAGATTTCATTTTATATATACACACACACACACACACACATATATATATATATATATATATATTTTTCTTTTAACCACAGTTAAAAAAAGACTGACCTTGGGAGAAGCCACAATTACTGCTGATGGAATGCCTGCTATACTCATGCCAGTGGCTCACATGCCAACCTTATGCAGTCTTCACCACATGTGGTACCCTGAAGATCCCTTATCCAAAATACTTGGGACCAGAAGTGTTTTGGTGTTCAAATTTTTTTGGATTTTGGAATATTTGCACATACATAATGAGTTATCTGGGGGATGGGACCCAAATCTAAACATAAAATTCATTTATGTTATATATATATATATATATACCTTAAACACATAGCCCGAAGGCAATTTTACACAATATGTTTAATGATTTTGTGCATGAAACAAAGTTTTGACTTTGACCCACCATATCTTTGAGCATCTTTTCACATACCTGTTGGTCACTTGTATGTCTTTGGAGAAATATCTATTCAAGCCCATGAGGTCAGGTGCGGAATTTTCCACTCGTGGCTTCATATCAGCATTCAAAAATATTTGGATTTTAGAGTAATTGGACTTTGGATTAGGGATACTCAGCCGGTACCATTACCCCCATTTTACTGGACAAGACGTGACCAAGAAGTGAAGTACCTAGACCTCGCCCAAGGATGTACTAAGTAGTAGAATTGGAATTTGAACTCAGGTTTGTTGGACTGCAAAGCTTATAGTTTTCTGCCTTCTGTCATTATCATCCTCACCCTGTGGGATATCTTTCCCACCCACTCTGGCCTGTGAGTGACCCAAGTGGAGGAGCTTGTTCACTCCTGGCTCACTATCACTATTGCCTAACACTGAGCACTGCAAGCCTCCTCCAGATAATAAATGCATTTGCTTCTTATACTTATCTATGGACAAAAGTCACAATTCAGTGATACAATTCATCTAAAATCTGCCATAATTGGATCAAACTTCTTCCCATGATGTTTAATTAGAATGATTTGTTAAAGTAGCAAGCCAGTTCATCCAGAATATTCCACATTAGTTTTGCAAAGAAAATGTAACCATATCTAAAGTCTGCTCTCAATTCACTCAAACCAAAAACTGGTTCACAACTGCATACAGGAATAATCACCTCCAAGAATGCCTCAAGAGTCTTCCATAATCCTTTTCAAAGGACTGACATCACGATCTAGGCCAAAAAGAAAAATAATTCCTTAATAAATAATTTATTTGCTAGCACTGACCCATGGTTCATGGTTGGGGCAGGAATGAAAAAAGTAAGTGTTTCTCATGTGGGTTGGAAACCTATGACCTTACCATCCACCTTGGCTGTTGCTCTCAGTTCCCTGGCATGGCTTTGATGAAGATCTCTGACTAGCTCCTGCTGCTCTGCTCACTTGGGCTCTGCTAGTATTTGCCCCACTTAATTGTGTGGTACCTTTTAGTTTCCCTTTGTCAGCTGGCCTGCAGTCTCCTCTGTGACTTTCCCATGGCCTCACAGACCTCTCCCCAACTACCACTGATCACCCCATGTAGCAGGAATGCCAGCCCCCAAAGGGCAGTGAATTCATCCAACACTTGCTTTTTTGGCATTTACTATGTGTCAAGTACTGTGGAATAGATACGTGCACAACACTTACAAAAATTCCTGCCCTTATTGAGCTTCAATTCCAGTGGGAAGAGACAGACAATAAATAAACATGTAAAATATACAGTATGTCACATAGTGTTAAGTATTGTGGATCAAAGCAAAGCAGGGAAGAGGTTAAAGAGTGGTGTGTGTGTGTGTGTGTGTGTGTGTACTGGAGAACTGTCACGCGTGCAAGAAAAGTGCTTCACAACTAGTGCATCTCTTCCATTCCTCCTTTTCCCATTCTCAGTCACACACCCTTCACCAGCCTCCACACATACCCCAACCAGCAACCCTTCTGCTTACCTGCTCTGTTCTCAGGTTTGGATATATACTTTGTGGGATCATTTGTTAAAAATGCAGGGCCCTTTGTTCAAAAAGTAAGAAGGTCGGAGTATTAAAACAAGTTTGAGGCCTCTGCAGGGCCTACGTTGCAAGCCCAGGAAGACAGCCCTGCTTGTTCCTATTCTACCCAAGATGATAGATGAAGGCAAGGCCCTGTGAATGCAGGCCCTACACCCTCCAACAAGCCCCAGCGGGAGGTGAAGGGTAGCTGCTGCCACTGCTACGTTCTATAGAAAGCTCAATGAGTCTGGGTAGAGGAGAAAGACAAGCCCAGGAACCAATGCTTGGAGGGTATGCCTTTTACAGGACAAGAACAGCTTCTAGAAGGGGGAAACCTCATGCCAAAAGGGAGGGCTACACAGAAATGTCTACTGAGTACCTCCTTTGCAGTGGACATTGAGGGAAAGAGACCGTGATGGATGGTACAGGCAAATATTTACAGGGGTGGGCTTCCCTGGGCAGGGAAGTCTTCTGTTGTGGGGAGAGGGGATGGGGGCAACTACAACTGAGCAGGGAAGGATGGACAGAGGGGACAGGGAAGGATGTTTATGAGCGAGAAATGGAAAGTTACAGGAGGCAACAAGGAGGACAGTTTGGCTGGTGGCAGAGGATGTACCACCAGGTGAGACCAGAGTGGGGAAGGGCCACTAGCCTGAAAGCAGTTGAGGGAGGGGGTGGTCAGGGAATGCTTTGAGGAGAAACAGGGACAGGATGAGAGCTGTGCTCTTGGAAGACCTGTCTGGCGGTGTATGAAGGACAGACAGCAGGCTCAGAGCGGCATCTAAGAAGAGGTCATGCTGGTGAGGGCAGGACAGTGAGAGCCTACCAAAATTAGCTGGGTAGAGCTTTCCTACCTGCACAGATGGGCAGACGTGAGGGAAGGTTTAGATGCACATTTCCAAGCAAGCAACAACACATAAGAAACTACATATCCCTGAGACAAAGTTCTCCGGCAGGATGCCCCAAACCACGTGCATTCCATAGAATCCCTAATTTTAGAAACCAGACTGGAACTTATCTGACCAAAATAAACCTAGCCCCAAATATTTACTTTTGTTATTTTCCCGTTGTGGAGGAAGGAAGATCAATATGGACCTCAGGACATTTTACATGTTCCTCATGAAGATAATTTCTTAGGGTGCCCTCTTGTACATCCTTGTTGGAAAAGCTGGCAATTACAAAACAAGGAAGTCTCCCAGTAAAAGTAAAAGCTTTTGGCATTTTTATCGCACGTCACTGTTTTTCAGTTTCTCAAATATCAACTGTGCACTTCATAACCCTTTGATTTCCTTGTACACACAGATTAAAAAAAGTCTTCCAATTGTGGGATAGTAACCATAATGAACAGAAAAGCAAATGGCAGGCCTAGAAGAATTTACTTTCATCATATAAACAGGATACACAATATTATTCTCTCTTTAGGCCGAATAATGGAAACAGCCTTAGTATGAATCATAATAAACTGAATTCTCATCTCAAGAGTTTTAGGACGAAGAAACTCTCACCTTGGACTGGGTTGAATGCCATATGGCGAGACGCCTGTTGTCCTTACTCCCAGTTTTCAAACATAGAAACTCTTCTCTGTTTCGTTTTGTTTTAATGAGAAGTAAAATAGAAGAATTTATGCTTGCAACATTCTGCTCCAAACAGACATCAGCTCTCATGCATACTCACAGATGTTCTGGGATTAATGGTGAAGATGTCATCCAATTGTATGTTTGTGTTGTTCCCTTCCTGCTATCATGGCTCTGATAGCCTAAATGAGTGATTTAATACTGTGTGAATTTTGTATCGGTTTATAAGTGTGTTGTCTGATTTAAAAAAAAAACAGAGAAAAGCAAGGAATACTTAGAAGGCTTGTTTGTATCAACTGACAGTTAATCATTCAGATGGAAATATGCACATTAAAATGTCATTGTCGACAGCCTATAGTTTTTAACTGTACAATTTGAATTCCCACAACAGTATATGGCTTTATAAGAAATGTTTAAGAAATGCTCGAAAGTTATTTGTTCCTTAACCTGGAATTTTATAGACTATATAATACCTTTATAAATGGAAAAATATTAACAAATGACCCTAAGAAACCTCTCAATAAAATTGCATAAACCACATATTTCAAAATAGACACCACACGCTGGGGACTGAACATGGAATAAGAAGTACCATGTGATTCTTCCTACACAGAGTCCCACTCTGCCAAGATCAGATATTTTAAGAACACGTTTGAACTATCAGTTGGGATGGCAGTTCTCTGGAAGTCTTTACAGCATTTTCAGGGTTTCCCAAAAGAAGAGCTCAAGGCTCCTCTCTCCAGCTGACTACTTCAATGTCACCCCAAGAACACCAGAAATGTGGATACCACCCTCAGCTTTTCCTCCTGCGTCTCCTACAGCCAGCCAGCTGCCAGGCCCAGGCTCTTCTCCCCATATGCTCAGCAGTCATCCTGTCCCATGCCACTGTCCCTCCCTCCACGGAACCTTTGCAACAGTCTGATTACAGGTTTCTCCTCCCCTAGAACGATCTTTTCTGAAATGCAGATGTGGTTAGGCCCCCTTCCTGCTTATAGCCCCTCGGTAGCTCTGCAAGGCTCAGACTGGGTTCTTGTCATGTTACACAAGATAAAGTAACACAGGGCAGTGAAGGAAGCTTGGTGAACTCACCCTTACTGTCCCCAGTGGAAACACTGCCCTGCTTGTCAAACATCCACAGGCCTGAATGCCAAGCCTGTGGGCTGTGAGCCTATGCTGGACTGCAGCCTTGAAGGCAGCCCTCACACAGAAACACACTTAGTGCTTCAGACCAGGAGTGGCAAAGCCCTTGTTGGTGAGTCAACTGTGTTCCCAAGCTTCCCGTGCCAATCCCTTGTTTGGAACCTGGAATGCTATTTCCTACAAATATCACGTAATAAGGAGTGACAAAGTGTCCATGCTAGCCCATAAGGACTGATTTAATCTGTAACTCAACAGAGCCACATTTGCAAGGAAAAAGAATGGTGGTCTATTAGTAAAGACTTATCTGGCATCTAATGTAAGGAAGCCTGCTAGCTGCTTTAATAAAAAGACATTCTGAGCAGAGAAGGGAGAATCTCCCCATGGAATGGAGCAGTAGGAGATCCTGGCCCAATTGTTTCCCTGACATCTATCTTCCCGTTAGGAATCTTACTGGTCACTCCTGTCTCTCAATTGGGGGTCTCAGAGTACTGCTTCCCAGGTCACACAGGCTCAGTCTTTAGGTCACCTGGCAGGGCCTCTGCAGCCTCCCACCCTGATGTTAAACCATCAGGGCAGATGGTGGCCTGGGGAAACACAGCTGATCTACGGTGCAGTAAAGCTACAGAACTACCAAAGATGCCAATTAAAAGGAGGAGAACTGCTTCCTCCTAATGCAGTTGCAGCAGCTCACATTCTTGCTTCCAGCACCAGACAAGTCAACTCTGGAGAGGCTGCCCCCACAATGCTCAGTCTCACCAAGACCTGGTGCATACCAGGGCACATTCCATCTGCTGAAAGGAAGGTCTGGGGATCTCATCTCTGGCAACAGTCCAGGCTGGTTCTGCCCTCAAGACAAGGTACCCGAGCACATCCTCAAAGGCCTCAAGTGGAGATCACGAATCCCTGCCTTTATCTAGCAATTGTTCCTCTGAACAATTTCAGAGCCTTCAGAAGGAACCAGCCCTGACAACATCTTGACTTTAACCCAGTGGGACTGGTTTACTTCCATCCTCTAGAACTGCAAGAGAATAAATTTGTATTGTTTAAAAGCCACTGAGTTTGTGGTGGCTTTTTTATAGCATATATAGGAAGCAAATAGAAGCCCCCATCAGAGACTAAGAGACGAAAACATCCCCAGGGCTTCCATAATTCCCCATTCTTTAAAATTAGCTCTCTGGGCTCCCGACCTTCTAGCCAGTTCCCTTCTCCAGCTATCCTGTGGGCTTTCACTTGGCTTACCCATGCAAACTCAACTTCCTTCTCTGTTTCCCCCAGGGCCCAGCCAAGCACAACTCCTAGAATCCAGGAGAGGCCCCAGGAACAGATGCTGATGGAGACTCCATTATCCTGAGGAAGGGAAACCCTGACCCCCCTTTCCCATTCCATCTCTGCTGATCCTTCCTCCGCTGTAGGCTTTTTCCGGCTAACCAATTCTCCAGCTCTTGAAACTGCAGCCTTCCACCAATTTCTCACCTTCTCTAGGGCCTGGTTTTGGATTAGAAAACACCTGCTATTATTAAGTAATCCTTTCTGGAAATGGCCCTTAACACCTGCTTCACCTATTTCCTATTCTGGTTTCTACCTTACACTTCACTTTTTAAAAAAAGTTGGAGGTGAAAATATATTCAGAGAACCTGTCCTTCTATCATGTTGTGTTAATGATCAACTTGAGGCAAAATTCCAATACTGTTTTCCTGAGAAGGGAAAGCTGTAAACTCTATGCTGGAAACTGTTCTAAATATTCCAAGGAGAGGGGTCCCATCTCAGAGCAGCTTCTTGAGAAGGAAAATCCTCTGCTTAGAAGATCCCAAAATGCAGCTTCTCAACAGAGTCCAGGAGTCTATGATGAAGCATCTTCTATAGTATAGTTTCCAAACTTTAAAATATCAATGGATAGCCTTTTTAAACAGTAATTCTTATAAGGACAGTTAATACAAAACATAAATTAAAAAGAGCTGCTTGGTGGGGGGGTAGGGGAAAGGCCCTGGTAGCGACTAGGGGTCAGGAAGAACTGCATGGAATCCATTCAGTCAACGAGAGATTTTCAGAGCCATTTAACAACCACTATTACACAGAACTTACTTATTATATTACATATAATCTTTTTAATGATAAATAATCCCATTGCCATAAATTCTATTACAATTAAAGGCAAACACGACTCTCCACAATGTCCCTTAGTGTTTTCTCATGCTGCAGGGCCTGTTTCCCCTCCTAGAGTGGGAGTCTTGGGGTAGAGAACAGTGTTCTCAGCATGGGGCCCAGATCACATACAGTTTGAATGTTTGTTGGGTGAAGGAATCAAATTGTTTCCAAGCTCCAGGCACTGTCCTTTATTTAAGCCTGTATCAGATACAAACAAGCACAAAACAAAACTCTACCACAATTAAATAATACAATCCCTTAGAGTCACTGTAAGGAAACATCAGTTTTGCTTTACCCAGATGAAGTCTGTGATCATATTTAATCAAGAGAACATGTGATGGGAGAACTACTGTAAGAACCGATTAATATGAACATAGAAGGTGATTGAAGGATAGAATGAAAGAGTTCTCTAGAAATGCCAGCCCAGATGACAATTCTAGAGGCAGACCACATTTACAGGCTAGAGAGCTCCAAGAAATACAGAAAGTGCAAGAAGGCATGGGAAATATTTCACATGAGGCCACAAGGACCCCAGCTTTCTGGAGCAGACACAGAGACTTCCAAAGCTGGCAAAGGCATTGGCTGGATGAGACAGGCAATGGGGACAGGCTGAGTGGGTACAGAAGGGGATTCACAAATTAGATTTTGCAGAATTTCCTGACACTAGATAGATTTTTGAGTTCTTTAATGAAGTTGCAGAGAAATGAAGTGACCTGCACAGTATCAAGAGTTGGCTGGTTAGAGGCAAAGAGAAGACTGTATCTGAGGCCCAGGTCCTGAGATTTGTTATCTTATTCAGTGAGCAAGCATGCATATAACTGGGTATATTTGGCATATGCCCCTCCTGGGGCACCCTTCTCTATGCTTCCTGTTTCCTCCTTGTCTCTGCTCCCCGTCTCCCCTCACTTAGAATCCCCTCAGATCTTCCTTTATCCCCTACTTGTTCTTATATTTTAAGAACTATTAATAATTCTACAAAACTTGGAAATTCTTTGTGAAAACTCTAACCCATACTTCTCCTCCCTAAATCCTGCTATGCCCTTGGAGTCCTTGACTCATTCAGCAATTTTCTCCGATATCTGCTGTCAAATACAATCACAATAAATTTTATACTTTACTTATTTATATACTATTCAACACATGAATGCTCATATCCCCAGTGCCTGGATACTCAAATTAAGGTTGACGGAATTAAAGAACAAACGTTTCATTGCTGATAGTTTGTGGCTGAGGGCAGCAGCTGCCTGATGCTTCCTTTATATCTCTCTGAAAGTTCTAAATAAAAATTTGATGAGTGAGTGACACTGTGTACTAAATGGAAACGTTTAATAGTAAAACTATATCAGCACATTATGGTCTGGCATTTGCTGTAAGGCTACATTTCCAACTAGATGACATTAACCTAATACAATCTAAATTTATTCATCTATATTGGGATATAATTTAGGACAATTTATCAGCAGATAATTTTCTAAATAATTACAACGAAAGTGTTAACACCTTAGAGCAAAAGATGTGCCATAAATATTAAACAGAACATACAAATGCTTTCTTAGTTTTCATTTGTATATAAACCAGGAGGAAAGCTCACTTTACATTAGCAAGATTATTCATACCCTGCTAAATTCTACTATAAACATGTACATGTGAACATGTATCCTCTCGACCATTGGATTGTGAGCTCCTCAGGGAGGGGACTGAGTTCTTGCTCTGTCCCTCTTGTGTTTGTCCCTCTCTGTACTGTGCTCGCACCCAGGCGTAGGACCTCAATGCTCAGTTAAGTGTCTGCTGAACAAATGAATGAACAGATGAATATGTGCACAGCCCATTCAATAAAATACTCTGTCCTTTCCACCTATAAAGCAACAGGCATCAGTACAGGGTCACTTGGAATTTCCTTATACCTACGACACTAGAAAGATGTGAGGAAGCTGGAGAAAACCTGCAGCATGTCAGTGGAGTAGAAAGCAGCAGGACACCCAGGTACCATCCAAACTGCCAGTGACTCATGGCACCCAGATTGTTGATGCCTCCTCTCTAGGCCTCAGTTTCTCTAACTCTGATCCCATCTAGCATCACCTGTCCTTCTGCCTCCCTGCCAGGAGGGTTGTGCAGAACAAACAATGCGGTTATGGGAAAGTACTCTGTACATTATAAAGCACTGTATTAGTTTTCTAGGGCTGCCATATCAAAGTACCACAAGTTGGATAGCTTAAAACAACAGAAATTTATTGTCTCTCAATTCTGAAGGCTGGAAGTGTGAAATCAAGCTGTCAGGAGGGCCATGCCTCTTCCTTGTCACTCCCGGTTTCTGGTGTTTGCCAGCAATCCTTGGTGTTCCTTGACTTGTAGATGCATCACTCTAACCTCTGCCTCTATCATCTTCTCCCTGTGTGTGTCTGTGTCTCTTCTTCTCTTCTTATAAGGGCAGCAGTCATATTGGATTAAGGGCTCACCCTCCTCCAGTATGACCTTACCTTAACTACTTACATTTGCAATGACTCTGTTTCCAAATAAGGTAACATTTTGAAGCACTAGGAGCTAGGACTTCAACATATCTTTTTGGGGGACAAGATTCAATCAACAAGTACCATATGAATAAAACCACCACAGTCAAAAACCCCTGAAATAATGTTATAGCTCGGACTAACTCTAAAGCTAGAAAAACACTTAAAAAATTCTCCTTCAAGTTATGGAGAATTAGCAGGTAGTGAGGAATAATGGGGCCAAGATTCTGATGAAGAGAGAAATCCAGAGAGGTCTGCCTGGGATTTAGGGACACTCTTTCTGTTGGGATATCTGCCACTTCTGAAAGAGTCTGAGAAGCTGAGCAGCACTTTGGACAGCTTGTGAGTGAGGCAGACTGAAATTGGAGTTCCATTCTCCAAGGGTTATACCCTAAGACTAAAGGTAAACCACAAAAAGTGGACTGGTTCTCAGAAGCCCTCTCAATCTCTGAAAATGAGATCACAGTCATACAGATTCATAGTACCCCAGGTGCCTGCCAGAGACAAGTATAAATTCTCCCTAAGGAAAGATAACATCATTCAAGGCCTCAGATTATTTCTAGAAGTTTTCACCTATCATGTCTGATACTTAATAAAAAAATAATTAGGTATATGAGGATATAAGACAAGATGAATGTAGTATATTCCAAGTAAAACAACAGGCAATAGAAACAGCTCACAAAGGCTACAAATAAAGGTGTTATTAGATATGGGATTTTTTTTTTTAAAAAACTATGCTTAAAGAGTCCAAAGAGGTAAAAGATAAAACTGAAGTTTCTCAGAGAACTAGAAACAAAACAAAACCCAGCAATTCTAGATTTTAAAAATAAAATAACTAAAATTAAGAATTCAATATGGAGGTTTAATAGCACTTTATAGCTTGAAGAAAAATTAGTGAACTAAATGATAGGTCAAAAGCAAAATCTAGTTTGAAACTCAGAAAGGCACAAGGATAGAAAATAAAGATGAAAGGGTAAAAGATAAAGAGGTAGTAAGCAGGACTAATAGATACATAATTAGAGTCACAGGAGAGGAGAGAATTGAGTAGAAGACATAGCCAAGAATTTTTTAAAACTGAAGACATCAAACACAGATTCAAGATCTTAAATGGATGAACCTCAAACAGATAAATAAAAATAAAACTACACGTAAGCACATCATAGTAAACTGCTCAGCACCAAAGACAAAGAGAAAATCTTAAAAGTAGCCAGAGGGGAAGAAAAACAGATTATCATCAATGGAGTAACAATTAGATCAACAATTCATTTAATGAAAATACTAACAGCCAGAAGGCACTAGAATATCATCAAAATACCAAGAGAAAATATAAAAACATTTAAAGAACAAATAACAACAATGTTAAACAAACTCTTGGGAAAGAAATAACACTGGCTGGGCATGGTGGCTCATGCCTGTAACCACAGCACTTTGGGAGGCCAAGGCAGGAGGACTGCTTGAGGGCAGGAGCAGGCTGAGGCTGCAGTGAGCCTTGATCACACCACTGCACTCCAGCCTAAGCAATAGAGTGAAACCCTGTCTCAAAAAAAAAAAAAAAAAAAAGAACATATATATCTTATATAAACTCTTCCAGAGAACAACAACAAAAAAAAACACTTCCCAACTCATTTTGCGAGTCTAACCAAACCATGACACAAAAATCTGACAAGGACATTACAAAAAAGTGAAATTATAGTAAAAAATCCTTCTTAGGAGCAAAACCTTGAATAAAATAGGAGGAAACTGAATCCAGAAAAGTATATGAAAATGATAATATGTCACTAGCAAATTAATTTTATTGCAGGAATGCAAGTCATCATATTAACAGAATAAAGGGGGGAATCAAATGATCATATCCATAGATTCAGAAAAATAATGATAAAATTTAAGGACCGTTTATAATAAATCTCCTTGCAAACTAAGCCTAGATAGGACCTTCCTAAATCTGATATGGTATTTACAAATAATTACAGCACATATCATACTTGATGGTGAAATACTGAAGGCTTCCTGCTAAGATCAAGGATAAGACAAGAATGCCTGCATCACTACCTCTATTTAACATCAAACAGGGAAAAAAGACGTAGGGGAAAGGAGAAAAAAACCCTAATTCACAGATATTTTGATGATATGTGTAGAAAATCCAAAAGAATCTGCAGATAAATTTCTAAACTAAACAGTTGGGAGATACATAGTTTGAAAATATAATAAACATTTGGAAAAGGAAAAATTTTCAGTTGCAATTTACAATAAAATCAAAATATAAAATATATAGGAGTAAATAAAAATATGTAACAAGACCTCTACACAGAAAATTCTAAAATGTTATTTGGAGAAATTTTTAAAGCCCATAAATAGAGGGATATACTATGTTCATGGTTTTAAAGATTCTATACTGTGAAGACATCAATTCTTCCAAACTCGCCTATAGAATCCATGCAATCTCAATGAAAACCATAGCGGTTTTTGTTTATTCATTTTGTAGAAACTGGAAACAGATAAGCTGATTTTAAAATCTATATGGAAATGCAAAAGACCAATAATAGACTTGTCCCGCTGGATACTGAAACTTATTATACAGCAACAGTAATTAAGAAAGTGTCATTTTGGCAAAAGAGCAATGTAATGGAAAAGCAAGTCCAGAAACTCAGGCACATATATGTTCACCAGAGGAAGATCAACGTTGGTAGAGTCCTGGAGCAATATCCTCACTTTCTGTCTAATCCCAGAGAAGGTTCTTCCCCTTTTTGGACCTCAATTTCTTCATCTATAACATGAGGCAGATAGACTAGGTCACTCAAATTCTGATTTGAAATTAGAATAAACAGATTAATAAATCTTTCCAGACTGCAAGTCTCCCCAGTTCTCATTTCTATTCAAAAGCACGACAATCTTCTAAGGAAATCAAACAACATCCCCCCTCTGTTTTCCAGATTAAAAAGGCAGGGATTTAGGCACTGTGTCTTGCTACCTACTGATTTTAGTCCAAAATATTCCAGCCAGCCTGAATATAGAGGTCATAGCCAGAGTCTTGCATTGTTTGCTCATTTAGAAGGCAAGTAAGGTAGTGCATAAATCAGGTAGAACTAGGTTTAAAACAATTTTTTTTTTCTTTTTTGAGACAGAGTCTCACTCTGTCACCCAGGTTGGAGTGCAGTGGCACAATCTCGGTTCATTGCAGCCTCTACCTCCTGGGTTCAAGTGATCCTCCCACCTCAGCCTCCTGAGTAGCCGGGACTACAGGTACATGCCACCACACCTGGCTAATTTATGCATTTTTGTAGAGATGGGGTTTTGCCATGTTGCCCAGGCTGGTCTCAAACTCCTGGGCTCAAGCAATTTGCCCACCTCAGCCTCCCAAAGTGCTGGAATTACAGGTGTAAGCTGCCACATCTGGCCAAATACCGTTTTTCATTTATACACTTATCAAACTACTTCTAATCAAACTATCTAAGATCTCTGAGCCTCAGTTTCCTTATACGTGAAAGGAAAATTTTTGTGAAGATTAAATGGAATAATGCTTGTAATACACTTAGGACAGTAGCTAGCAGATAACAATTATTTAATAAATGGAAGCCATTGCTGGCAATATACTAGAGCTGGGTATTGGGGCTATGAGGATGAGAAGACAGGATGACAGAAACAGCAAACTAGACTTGTGAGGGTTTAACACATAGTGCCTAATGTGTAGCTGATGCCCAATAAATATTAAGGGAATAGGCAAGTTACTAACTTGCCAGGCTCTCACAAAATCCTTAAGAGTCAAGGTCCCCTTGTTTATAGTGCCAAGTTCCCTTCAAAATAACTGGATTCCAGTGCATTTTTGCCCTTGTTATTACTGAAGACAGAGCTCACTCCCACGTACCCAGTACCACATGCCCCCACAACACACACCTGGCCTCAGCTAGCATCATTTCCCTTCTTTCCCATCCTGAACACACAGGGGTGCCTCAGCCTCGTGTGGTCATCTTGTGCCTGGGTAGCTTGCAGCCTGCGTAACATCTAGTTTGTTTATTGAGCCTCTCCCTCACCCAGAGACTCTTTAAATCAAAATGGCCTATAAAGAAAAGATTTCAAAAGCAACAAGAGGCTGAGTACTACAAATCCTGTTACTTCAGACCTTACACTTCAGGCCTGAAAACACATGCCTGGAAGGTAGGAGTGGCCAGGGCTGAGTGCAGGAAGGAACCGGCCTCCTCTCCACTAGGGGGAGCCATGCCACCCTTTCTCACTCCTGGGTGGACCCCACTTGGGCTGTGAAAGGAGGTTAGGTCCCCTCACTCCCTCCAAAGACAATATAAATTGGGATGCTTTTAGAGTCACAGACGAATATGCAGAACTGTAGTTAACTGAAGAGGTTTCCCTAATGACGGTTTTTGACTTCTAAGTGTATCAGGACCAGGCTGGAGCGCAGTGGCACATACTTGGCTGACAGCAACCTCTGCCTCCTGGGTTCAAGTGATTCTCCTGCCTCAGCCTCCTGAGCAGCTGGGAATGCAGGCGCCGGCCACCATGCCCAGCTAATACATTTTTGTATTTTAGTAGAGACGGGGTTTCACCATGTTGCCCAGGCTGGTCTCGAACCCCCGAACTCAAGTGATCCACCCACCTTGGCCTCCCAAAGTGCTGGGATTATAGGCGTGAACCACCGTGCCTGGCTGTGCTCCTTCTCTCTCTAGCGAGGGCTACACCTGCCACCCAGGTGTGTAGACAACGTCCTGATTCTTCTGCCACTCATCTTCTTGCCCTTCTCAGAAAGAGAATCTGAAATGGAAACCCACTAAAACATTCAACCAAACATTTTTCTCCAACAAAAATCCCTGTTATTTGCCAAAGGTTCTTGTTGGGGGTTCAGTGGAATTAGAAACAGCTACTCTGTAGCTAATCCAGATAAAGAACGCTTCATTATTCCCTCACCCCTCAGCCTTCTCTGTGTAAGCTCCACGGCTCTGCTTCCCTCAAGGCTCTGTGCTCCCACATCTTGCAGGCCCTGCTCTTAATTCTCTCCCAGTTTTCAGAGAGTAACAAAAGGGAAGTCACCACTCTGCAGCCTTGACTCAGTTCTGAAGTTCCAAAGGCACTGAAAATTGTTACTTAAAGGTGTGAGCTTCCCCAGTTTGTAAAACCTGAAGAGTACTATCCTCTTAACTTAGAACTCAGTCACTGGCAAACCACCGCACTGTGGAAAAGCTAATGCAGCAGTCACTGTAATCCCATCTGGGGCTTGCCCTCAGCTTTGATTTCCTGAGTATAGCAATAAACCAAGTCAGTCTCCTATGAGAACTGTTTTGAAGGAAGCAAGGGCATTAAGTGACTTAAGTGACCGCATGTGCACACTCTAAGGTGTGCATTTCGTTTGTTTGTTTGTTTTTTGTAAGGTCTACCTTTCTGTTAGTACCCCTGAAATACGGGACAACAACATCCTCCAGCAAATCCATTTACAGTCATAAACCAGGGGCAGACGCCTGCCTTCCCACCGCAGGGGAAGCAGGAGCCTCAACCTTGAAACCACTAGAGCTTGGGAAGAGCTGTAACCCAGGGTCTTACCTCCCCCAGACAGCAGGGACCACATTCACATGTGGTGAGCTCACACCTCTCTCCATCACCCCCTGGCCCCCACCCTGTGGAATGGAGTAATTCAGACTCTATGTGTTTCCCTGGGACAAAGAGGCATTTATTTCAGTGGGAAGCAAACTTTTTTCATGGGAATACAGCCCTGAATTTTAGAATCAAAGCAGATAAAAAGAAAAGCTTAATTTTAAAATATTTTATAGCTAACTTTTAAGAAATACATTTAAATATACACTTCATGCAGATTATTCATAAATACTGTCTACTTCTAATGAACTGAGAAATTTTACCAAATTACCTTTACCATGAATTCAACTGGAGTTAAGCAAGTAAAATATTCAGACTTTGTTTGTTTGTTTGTTTGTTTGTTTTTGAGATAGAGTTTTGCTCTTGTTGCCCAGACTGGAGTGCAATGGTGCCATCTTGGCTCACTGCAACCTCCGCCTCCAGGTTCAAGCAATTCTCATGCCTCGGCCTCTTAACTGGGATTACAGGTGCCCACCACCATGCCCGGCTGATTTTTTGTATTTTTATTAGAGACAAGGGTTTACCCAGGCTGGTCTCGAACTCCTAACCTCAGGTGACCCACCTGCCTCGGCCTCCCAAAGTGCTGGGATTACAGGTGTAAGCCACTGCGCCAGGCCAAAATATTCAGACTTTATACAAACTATTGTGTGGTTACTATGTGGCCTAGAACACTGCTAATACTTTACTCACATTACCTCATTGAATCCTTACAACAACCCTCTGAGGGAGGTACTATTATTCTCCCCGTTTTACAGATGAGAAAATTGAAGCATAGAAGTTAAGTCACTTGCCTAAAGTC